AGAGAGAGAGAGAGAGAGAGAGAGAGAGAGAGAGAGAGAGAGAGAGAGAGAGAGAGAGAGAGAGAAACTCGACCATCCCCCCATGATCAGGTGTAGTATCTGTTCCGGTCAGTTTCGTATGTGATCCGTGGTCAATCAAGTTCTTCAAGAAAGGAGGGGAAAAAATATGTTCGCGCACTGATCAGTTTAATGGAATAAAAAAAACGAGGGAAGCATGAGCGATTTCGGAAATAAAAGAAACCGGAAACTCAAGCGATTTCGGGAGGGGACATGCACGCACGCAGCCGCAAGAGGTAAGACGGACACACACACACACACACACAGACAGAGAGAGACAGAGAGAGAGAGAGAGAGAGAGAGAGAGAGAGAGAGAGAGAGAGAGAGAGAGAGAGAGAGAAGTGGAGAGTTTTGACTCCCAGGCTCATTTAGCAGCACACCAATGAAAATTCGGGAAATGTACCAGGCCCTGACAGTCTGAAGCAAACTGGCCGTGGGGATGCACTACCAGCGCCAAGTCAAGCCACAAGAAGCACAGGCTGGGACGAGCTGAAGCTCAGCAAAGTTAATAGAAGGACTGGCCAACTTCCTCATTCGGGCAGATCGCTCATTCACATGAAGTGTGGAAGTGCTGGTGCACTTGTGCGCTATTGTGAGGAGCAAGCGTTGAGCCAGGGAGCTGCGCTGTTAGAGGGAGAGAGAGAGAGCAGCCATAGCTGCCCCAGCGCTGGCAGAAGGAAGGCAGCCGTAGCTGAAGCAGTGCTTAGTAGTTAGTTGTAGACCGCAGGGGGGTTAGTAGAGTTAGCAGTGGGTGTATCCAGAGTTGATCCTTGAGTAGTACAGGATGTGAGTGCATACAAGTAGGGAGAGAAGACACGGGGAGGTAGTAGACAAAGAGAAGGCTTAGAGAGAAGAGAGAAGAGCAGTGAACTATTAATTGCTCATATGATAATTTGTTGGAATTCTAAAGCTGCGCTTACCTGGTCTTTGTCTCTCTGGCCTCCAGTGTGAATTTCGTGTAATCTCATTTTTGCATGGTGTGTGATTGTGTGCACTCATTGGGGGTGAACTGGGAGGTTCATTGCATGATCCTGCAATTTGCTGTTTCTGTTCTTGTTTTCCTTGTAGGTGTCACAAAGGGTGGCAAGGGCTGCAGAGCTGTTCAAGAGACTTGGTGTGATTGGTTTCTGGAGTCAGTTGGTGTGCACCTTCGTCTCTGCTGGCATACTGGCCTTCTCCTTGGTGCTGACAGGGAAGGCTACATCAGTTCTTACTCTGTATTTGACAGCAGCTGGCATATGTGCCGCATTTCTTTCAGTCTTCTGGTCCTTCGGATACACAAGGCTGTCTCTTCGACTTCGTGAAGGTGTCGGCAACCCCAGTAAGGTAGGGGTGCTGGCTGTGTGTGTGTATCTGTGTGTTTGTTTGTGTGTGTTTGTGTGTGTGTGCGTGTGTGTGTGTGTGTGTGTGTGTGTGTGTGTGTGTGTGTGTGAGAGAGAGAGAGAGAGCACTTGATTGTTCGTACATCTGCTGCTCTGTATTGCCTATGTAATAACCCATGCCATATGTCGTCTGAGGGCCGAACGCGGCAACCCTCAGTCCAGGCCACATAAGGGCGCAAAGGCCCTAAGTCTACTACAGGGCCTGGACGCCAGGCAGTTGACCGTAGTCAACTGCCAGATTTCCAAAGGTCAAAGTCAATGTGTACCCAGCCCAGGCCGCGGGTCAAGCACACACACTTGTTTGTATGCAGGTACCCGGACAGCATCCAGACCTTCGACGGCGGGTCAATCTGGACGACTGTGACTCGTGGACTGGAGGCCAGACCTCCGAGTCAAACACTACGTAAGCTGGGGTCTACAGGGAATCGACATTCAGTCTTGCTATGCTGATTCAACGCTGGCTTGACTTTGACTTGACGCTGGCATTATGCTAGCGCGACGCTGGCTGGACGCTGGCTGTGCATCAGAGCTGCGGACGACGACACGAGGGAGAGGCGATGATGGCATTATGCGCCAGGCATGCTGACGTCGTGCTGCCTCTGGTACATGTGGCGCTGCCTATGGTCTACATGGCATGCTGATGTGGCGCTGCCTCTGGTACATGTGGCGCTGCCTATGGTCTACGTGGCATGCTGACGTGGCGCTGCCTCTGGTACATGTGGCGCTGCCTACTGTCTACGTGACATGCTGATGTGGCGCTGCCTCTGGTTTATGTGGCGCTGTTTCTGTCTACGTGGCGCTGTTCTTGGTCTTCATTGATGATGTGGCATATGCCACCTGTCTCATCCACTGATGTGGCATTGTCCACACTTTTTACATGAGGTGACTGGTTGCGAGGGAGAGTAAGATCAGGGCCGTGGGGAGATCGAGATATGTACCTGGTGGTCTTCATGATGACATTGTTCCAGCGCTGATGAGGGACTAATTAGAAGTGCCACGTGGCACATTGCTTCAGATACTCGTTCAGACTGTTGATTACTAAAGTGGCTTGGAGGAGGGAGCCCGAAGCAGGAGTGGGCATCTTCCTCTCCTTTGTCTATTCTCCCTCCTCTCTCCTTCGTCTGTGAATGATCATCTCGTCTTATTCTGTCTGGACACTATCTTAATTATTGGTTCTCATCAGCTGTTCACATCTATCTGGACTTGCATTGTTCATAACTGTTCTCACGATCTGGGTTCATTACAATTTGGTATCAGAGCATCTCTTCATCGCGATCTGCTGTCTGCTGACAGGTGCTGATGTGGCACCCAGGTAAGTGGGAGGTGCCGCAAGTGCAATATGAAACGCGTTTATTAACGCTCGCGGTCATACTGCAAGTCTAGACATGGTAGTAGTGCACTTGTGAGCAACCATCCCTTGAAGATGATGACCAGGATACATTGAAGTTTGAAGAGCTGCGTTGGCAACAGGCTGACGTGGCATTGGTACCGCTGATGTGGCATATTGTTTCTTGGCAGGATATGGTCTGACGTGGCACGTGTYTGTGCCGTGATTACCTGCTGATTGGGCATTGACGTGGCATGCCAGTGTATGCGTGTGACAAGCACGCATTGCTGATGTGTCATCCCCCTTGTATACCTCCGGGTTCTTGATGTGCTGACGTGGCAGACTCCAACGAGCTGCTGTGTTGGCATGCCAGGGGTGACATGTGGCATGTGTTGGGTGAGTTGTCGAGTGTTTTGTTCAATGCAGGCAGTACAGCTATAGAGAGAGGCGGCTGACAATTGTTTGTGATTGTTGTTTGGTTTCCTACTTACCTGCCAACTGTTCTGTGGTGTCCTTGCATACTCACCTGTGTGCTGATGTCTTGATCACACTAGCCGTGGCTGCGGTACCTGCACACATAGATTAGGAAAATCAGACAGCAAACTAGTATTAGAAAACTGATAATATTTGTTTCTTTGTATTTGCCTTCAATAATTCTTGCTGTAAGAATAGCGTGCGTCGTGGAATTTATTTTTGTCTTTGATTTTATGTATTGTGCGGTATCTGCACGCTTGGCAAAATGCATTCTCTTTGGAAATGTCTTCGTGCCTCTATCTTGACCCGGTTCATACCGCTCTTCTTCTTTCCTATCCCTCTCACAGTCTTTGTTGATGAAGAGAGAGTGGAACTGAAAACCCGTGGACAGATTGATGGAAGGAGACAGACTTTGTTGGGTCTCCTTCGTCAGCTGCTTGGCGAGACACATGGTGCTGGTCCAGATGCGGAACAGCATGTTCACGGACAGGTCAATCTGCGTGATGGAGAAGGAGACCTGCAGGCCGCTGAAACTTCTGTTCAGATGATGGAGACAGGCCAGAGAGTCGAAGAACTCATCAAGCAAGGACGATTAGTCCTTGATCGGTATGTCGCCGAGAGCCTTGAAAAATTAGACCAGGAAAGAACCAAAAGAACAGGGAAGAAAGAAGAAGTGGTAAAGAAAAGTGGAAGAATATCGGAGACTAATAAACAGCAACAGGAGGAGGAAAGAGTGATGGAAATGTTGAGGGAAAAATTTCATTATGAAGAAATAGGAAGTGAGGTTGCATCTATTCTTCAGTCTATTATGGTCTACCTCGTTAATCTCGAGAAGAAGATTGACCACGACACCATCACCATTGAGTCCCTGACAAGAATGGTGAAAGGAAAAGATGAGGTGTTGATTGAGGAGGTGGCCAAGGGGGGAGAAGATAAGAAAGAACCCCGAGAAAAATTAATGAAAGATGCAATGAAAGGGGTCACGCCCGAGAAAGCCGAAGGTTCTAAGAAAGAACCTGAGAAGCCGGAAGAGAAGAAAGAAGAACCCACCGGAAAGAAAGAAGAACTGGCAAAAGAAGCGGAAAAGCCTAAGAAGAAGGAAAAGGTGAAAATGAAGTTACCATTCACGTACAGTAACAAGAAGGATGAAAACTTGTTCCTGTGGATTGCTGAAATCCAGACTTACTGTAGTACCGCACCCGTGGAACCCGAGAGTCAGGTTGCTTTCTCAACGTCTTGTTTAGGAGGAGTGGCCAAGGAATGGGTGCTGGCCGAGGCCAATGCTGATGGCTTTGAGGATATTGGTGAGTGGGCAAAGACCCTGACGTTGAGGCAATTTCTCCAAAAGATAAAGGAGAGGTTCCTTGACAAAACGACGGCCGACAAGGCTTTTGATGAGCTCACCACCATTAGCCAGAAACGGACTTCTGTCGATGCGTTATCTCGTGAAGTTGATTGTCTGTTGTAGGTACCTGGATTGAATTTGCAGGAAAACCAGGTCCTATACATTTACTCACGAGTGTTGCCCGAGCCCATTCGTGGACAGCTCGTGGCCGAATCGAAATCTTGTAAGTATAATTATCGGCAGTTCCATGGCCTTGCCCTTCAGAGAGAGCAGATGACTGCACAGGTCAAAGGTTCTTACGCTTCGGTTGGTGGGTACAGCAAGCGGGTCGTTTGGCGGCAAAAGCGCCAAAACATATATAAATTGATTTGCACAAAAATTAACACGAGACGCCAAAAATGCGCCTATAGCACTGAACAAAATGGGTTTTAGTTTCATCATTCTTGGAGTGGTAAATTTTGACGAAAACATAATTTCGTTTTTTGGTAGTATGAAAATAGAATTTGCCCAAAAACGAGGTACCTAAACCAATCATCATATCTTTGGCCAAATATCCAACAAAAAGACTTCCAAAAGCCAAAAGTATTTAGATATTTCTGGATATAGGCCCCTTTCGGTTGCCACCGCATACTTTGAAAGATGTCGTGGCCTACAACTCACCCAAAAGAGTCAACGCAGCCGCCACAACAAAACAAGCAGTCGACTATCCTCTTTTTTGGTCGGCGGCCGGTCAAATACAAAGGCCTTTTAGGGCCCAAATTTCCCATGTTAGCTCTCCGAACTGTGCGAGATGGTCGCCCATCACACGACTCTCCAACCTGAGTAACCTTTGTGGCGGATCTCTTTGAATGGGTCCCACATGTGTGTAAACATTCCAGAAGTGTTTCCTGTGATTTCTTGGACGGAGCAACTCTGTCGACGAGCCCGTGGGATTCAGACGCGAAGCGTCTGCTCTTCGAGCCTTTGCCAAGGTGGAGAACGTCATGTGCTGCTCTGCCGCAGCTCTGACTCTTGCGAGCCTCCAGAATTCAATATATTCAGTAAATATATTAGAAATAAAAGAATACTAAAAATAGGATAAAATCAATCAAATGATTCATTCAGTGATTTAATTTAATTATTCAATTAATTGAATTCAATAATTTTTGTTATTGACAATAGAATAGAAATATAAGCATGTCAATCTATAAGTAATTGAACTCACACCCAAAAACAAAAAATTAGAAAATGCTTGTGCTGTTCGATGACAAAACAGTAGAGAAGTTACCTCTTGATGAGTCTGAGGGAGGAGGAGGTAACGGCGGCAGTGAATCTGGGAAGGGTGATGTCACTGCCGTAATGGCCAACAGGGGAGGCCAAAACCGGTGGAAGAAGAAGAAGAGGTCATGCTCGTTTCCCGAGCATCCCGGCATTGCGTTCGGGAGACCTTGGGAAAAGATGAACATGACTAGGGAGGAGTGGCAGTCCAAGATGGACAACCGCCAGTGCCTCAAGTGTGGCACCCTGGGGCATGTGATAGCCTGGTGCCCACTTATCCGTAACCCAAAAGCGAGCAGCCAGTAGGAGTAGCATCTGCTCCTACTGAGTCGAAGGGTATAGACGAAGAAAAAGATTAGGCGCCTACAAACCCTTTTACCCCTTCGACTCTCAAGGCAGAGGATGACTCTTCTTCCGCCCGTCGTCCAGACCACCCTGATACAATGCTATGTTCTGTCTCACTGGACGATTCCCTTGACGAACTCGGCAATGAACTGTAGCACTACGGAGTTCGTGGGCGAAGAAAGCAAAACCAAGGGGTGAGTTAATGATTGCGGATGTTGAGATTGCGCACACGCGAGTAGGTGCTCTGTTAGATCCGGGATCGACGCGGTCTTATATCTCAGAGAAGGCAATTCGAAAATTGCATCTGAGAATGAAGGTAAAAGATTTACCTAGACCTATCACGTCTATATTGGCTGATAGGAGCACGATCACTGTCTCTCAATACGTCGATCGTGTCAATTGCTATTTCAGTATAAAGGAAGGTAAGAGAATTTTACACGAAGTATCCTTCTTAATTGAAAAGAATTTACCTTTTGACATGAGGAAGCCGACCCTGAAGTCAAGTTCAAAGATAAAATTGTCAAACTTAAGGACGATAAGTTCGAAATGCGTGTGATAAAGTTGTACCATAAATCTGGCCCTGACTCTACTCTGTCTTTTTGCTGTATGAGTTACCCAACTTTCCGATCAATGGTAACAAAGAAGAAGTTGGATCAGGAGGTGATGATGGTACTTGTTAAGCGTGTAGGTGAGTGTTCTTCATCCCACCCACTTTCTATTGAAAAACTTCTTGACAAGTACAAGGACTTGCAGACTGAGCAGACGGGAATCACTTCGCGTGCTATCAAGCACACTATTGAGATTACTCCTGGAAGCAAGATTCCCAAAGATCCCATTTACCGTATGTCTTCCAGGGAACTTGAGTAGTTACGGAAACAGTTGCAGGAACTTACTAACAAGGGATGGATTCGCCCTAGCTCATCTCCTTATGGTGCACCTGTCTTGTTTGTGCCTAAAAAAAAAGGTGAACTACGTCTATGCATTGACTATCGTGGGCTGAAATCCGTCACTATGAAAAACGTGGAACCTCTTCCGCGCATTGACGACCTGTTGGACCAATTACAGGGATGCAGGTACTTTAGCAAGATTGATCTCAAGTTAGGGTACCACCAGATCGAGGTGGCTCCTGAAGATCAACACAAGACGACGTTTCGAACAAGGTATGGTCACTACGAGTGTGTGGTAATGCCTTCCGGTTTGACTAACGCCCCTGGAACCTTTCAGCGGTCTATGAATGAGTTGTTTTGTCAGTGGTTAGACCAATTCGTAATTGTCTATCTCGACGATATTCTAGTGTATAGTAAGACACTAGAAGATCACGAGAAACATCTTCGGATAGTCTTGCAGAAGTTGCGTGAAGGCAACTTCGAACTGAATCCGAAAAAGTTTGAGTTCGCTAAACCTGAAGTCTTATACTTAGGGCATATAGTAAACGAGGAAGGACTCAGACCTGAAGAAAAGAAGATTACAGGAATCAGAGATTGGCCACAACCTAAGACTATAACTGAATTGAGATCTTTCCTAGGACTTGCTAGTTATTATAGGAAGTTCGTCAGAAACTTCTCCTTGATAGCTGCTCCTATGAGAAGACTGCTAAAGAAAGAAAAACCTTGGTTGTGGGACAAAGATTGTGAGTCGTCATTTAGGAAACTGAAATCTGTTTTGACTCACTATCCTGTGTTAAAGATTGTTGACTCTTCTCTTCCTTTCATTGTCACGATTGATGCAAGTCAGTATAAGATTGGCGTTGTGTTACAACAGGATGACGGTAAGGGATATAGACCTACTGAGTTGATGTCCAGAAGACTTCAGAAAAAGTCGCCAACTCCACTTATGAAAGGGAGTTGTACACCTTAGTCGCTGCACTAGATACCTGGAAACACTACTTGTTGGGAAGGCATTTCATTGTCTACTCTGATCACTTTACTTTGAAGTGGATCAAGACTCAGCCTAGACTTTCAGACAAGTTTGTAATTATTTCGATATTGGGAATGAATTGAAGGAACAGACAAGGAAGGGTTATGAAAACGATTCCATCTGGAGTCCCATCATTGAGACTCTAAGAAAGAACCCTGAACTATTCCCAGAGTATCGAATGAGTGATGGCTTACTCTTCTTTATAGACAAAACCGAAGAACGACTGCGTGTTCCTCACCACGAACCGATTAAAAGTTTAATCATTGGGGAATGCCATGATGCAGAAGGACACTTTGGTTTTAAGAAGACGTACGCCGATGTCGGAGAAAGATTTGAAATGAAAGGAATGAAGGAAGATGTATTAACCTATGTGCGGACTTGTCTTGTCTGTCAGAGGAACAAGCCCTCACATGAGAATCCGATGGGACTACGGAGACCACTGCCTATTCCAAGTGAACAAGGTGAGTCTATACTATCGACTTTATGAGCCTCACTAAGAGTAGAAACGGCAACAGTCAAGTAATGGTCATCTTCGATAGATTCTCTAAGTATGCTATGTTCATTTCTTTGCCTGCTGAAGCTAGAACAGGACTAGTGATTCAAAAATTTCAGATGCGATGGGTTTCTGAGTATGGATTTCCGAAAACCATTGTCTCTGCCAGAGATGTTCGGTTCACTAGTCTACAATGGCAGAAGTTGATGGAAGTCTATGGCACCAAGTTGACCATGTCGTCAGGTAGACATCCTGAAACCAATGGTCAAACTGAGCAAATGAATTGTCTTTGCCAACAACTTTTGCGAATGTATGTCCGACCTGATCAGATTGATTGGGATGAGAATTTACCCAAAATTGCTGGTGCTTATAACAACAACATGCATATTGTTACAGGTAGAACACCGAGTGCACTGCATAAGGGTTGGAAGCCTCGGCGCCCCATCGGCGCCCTGACCAGAGACCAGATTCAGAGGCTACCCCCGGGTACACGTGAGTTTGCAGTTTTGTATGAAGAAGACATTAAAAAAGATTGAACAGGCTAATAAGCACCGCCGACCTTCACATCTTCAAGAAGGAGATTTTGTTTGGGTTAAGTCTAAAGAGTTTTCCTTAGAAGAGAATGTATCTCAAAAACTGCTACCTGTCTACTTTGGACCCTGGGAAGTTCTCAAGGTGATTGGAGATGCAGATGGACCGTCCTATCGCATTTTTATACCTCCACACCTAAGGACGTACCCTGTCTTTCACGCCTCTAAACTGCTACCTTATGTAGAAAGTGACAACTTTCCTAATAGGCCATCCATGTTTCCACCATCCATGAATGGGAATTACGAAGTTGAGAAGATATTGGAACATGGCTACTTCTCTACAGGTGGCAGAGGACGACCGCAGAAGCAGTTCAAGGTGAAGTTGAAGTCTCAATCTCCATCTGAAGCCAGATGGAACATGGCTACTTCTCTACAGGTGGCAGAGGACGACCGCAGAAGCAGTTCAAGGTGAAGTTGAAGTCTCAACCTCCATCAGAAGCCAGATGGTTTAGTCGAAAAGAACTCCTACCTACTGCTCCTGATATTGTTAATGCATATCAACGTGGGTTAACTGGGAATTAATGTATTTTCTGTGATGAAACTCGAAAACTGGGCCGACAGGAATGTAATAACCCATGCCATATGTCGTCTGAGGGCCGAACGCGGCAACCCTCAGTCCAGGCCACATAAGGGGGCAAAGGCCCTAAGTCTACTACAGGGCCTGGACGCCAGGCAGTTGACCGTAGTCAACTGCCGAATTTCCAAAGGTCAAAGTCAATGTGTACCCAGCCCAGGCCGTCGGTCAAGCACACACGCTTGTTTGTATGCAGGTACCCGGACAGCATCCAAAACAAGTGGAAAACTGCAACTGTACACGATCCAAACCTTCGACG